CCAAAAATTGTGATGCTATTCTTGTTAACCCAGAAATGGCACATTCCTAACATACATCAATTAGGGATGTCTCAAAATAAAGCAGAGAATATTCCAAAATGTAGGCTATTTACATACCAAATGTACAGTACTGAAGAACAAACCACTGAAGTTTCTTTGAATGATTCAATACACTTTTACATCAAAGAACAATCAACATTTCTGAATTTTATACCAAGTATTTTTTCATGGCAGCACTAGCGCAAACCTTTTAACTCTAGCGAGGCCACTGAAAATTGAGAGTTTTTACGAAGTGGAATGTATCTGCTCTCTATTCATTGTTTGTTATTTTAGTCTTATTCCAGCTAATATGTAACTCTGGGATTGTACCTGGGATTGCTTGGCAATTTAAAATAAAACAAAATTGCCACCTGCGTTGTCATATATAATATATATAAGGCAACAAGATTCAGTGGGATTTTCAGAGGCAAATCTCAGAGTAATCATTTTTACAATTTGTTCAAGAAGTATTTCTCAACAGGAAATGCCTGCCTTACAGAATGATTAGTGCTGGTGGCAGTTTCCTGAAGAAAAACAATGCACATAAATTTCTAGTTTGTTATCTAGAGAAGATGACTTCAAAGAGGCTACTCTGTGACTAATGACTATCTGAGAGTGATAAGAAAACATGCTTTCTCAAGCACTTCATCAACCTCGCAAACCAGAGAAAGGATCATTCGAGTCAGCAAATAGTTTGGTTTTGCCAACACTCCGTAGCACCACTGGGATATGCATCCCATTCTGTCACTAGACCAGGAGACCCTTAGAAGCAACAGAACTATTCCCAAGCAGATAAAAACCACCAGATCAAATCAAGTCCGTCATCTAAATAGCTTTGCATTCTTCCATCTGCTAGCAAAGCCCAGCTATCACAGGCAAAGGGCTTCAAAGGAAGATACATTTCTCTAGTTATTTTCTTTTTAATCTTTTGGTTAGAAGAATGCACTGTAAAAAAAAAACCATGATTGTTGTCCTAGCTATCACGAGAACAATAGTATTGTATTAGAGTTGTACAAACTATTTGGAGGAGTATTTTACAAAATTACCAAAATGTCCCTTTGAAGCTAGTGCTCAAGATGCCAAGGCACTGCACTTTATCAGAGGTTTGCCAGAAAGTATAAGGCCCAGTGCATGATTTCTGGATATGTGATCCCATAAATACAGCTGAACTTAATTACTGACAGGAATGTGGTTAAAGCACCAGGGTAGAAACCAGGACACTGAATTGTAGTCCTGCCTTAGGCATGAAAGCCAGCTAGGTGATTTTAGGCCAGTCAATCTCTTAAATCTCTGTCTCTTGATTTCTAGCCTGGTGTCTTAACCACTAGATCAGAGCTATCAAACACCAGGCCCGTGGGCCAGATGTGTCACACGCACACACCCGGTTTAGCAAAAGAGGGAAAGGTTCCAATTCATCACGTGACATCGCCATGATGATGTAAGTTTGTCTTTGCACTAGACCAAACTGGCACAACTGCCATCTAATTTTAGGATAAATTTGAAGATTTTTGCAACAAAAAAGGTGGTGTCTGCTAAGATTAGCAACATTTCTGTATCTCAGTTCAGTTCATTCCAAGTTATAATTTTGCACATTGTCTTCTATTTTAAAAGTCACTTAGGTGAGAAAAGTGATATACAAAGTTGATAAATTTTTAAAAAAACATATTCAAGCATATCTATTCTAAACAGCAGTGTTATTCAGAATGCAAAATTCCTACTGTATTCACAGTAGAAATATATGAACAGTAGAAATATAACATTTAAAAAAAAATATAAATTCTATCAGAGATCTTAATAGATCATACTGTATCAAACATTATTTTATTTTTCTCAGCTAGTAACTTAGAAAGAAAAATCTGAAAACCAGGGATTTTATTACCAGGGATCATTAAGAAATGGGTCTTTTACAGGAAAATTAATATACAGCCTGGTGCTGTCTAAAACACTCAGTAGCAATAAAAAGTAAAGGCTGCAATTCTACTCACATAGTTAAGAGTAATCTTGTTGAAGTTATTTATTTCAGAATTCACATTTTTACTATTGTTCACTTATACATTCTGTTCTTCGGATAAAATAATTCCAAGATATAAAAATATAAAACATACTGTGCATCATTACTAAATACACACAGAGGTTTTTTTAAACAAAAAAGAAACCACATAAAAGACAAAATAGATATAATCTGAAGAAGACTCAGAGTCACATTACAATTCAAACAATTGTAAAAAAAGTTGTTTTTATCTCAAAATATTGCCTAGTGGGGCCTATCTCAAGTTTTCTCATTATGTAACATTTCCACTGGAAAGAATCATAAATATGGTCCAATCAGTCTCAAAACTCGAGTTTAACATTGCTAGGGAAAGCATTCATTATACATTCATGTTTCTTAAATTGTGTAATGATTTACATGGAAATAATACATTGGATTTATAGGCAACCAGTGCAATACTTTGAGGATCAGTATCATCTAGCCCCCTTTTATTTAAGAGCTGCCGTTCCTGCTCAATGTTCAGCATGCTGTCATACAGAACAAATGTATTAGACTGCATTATAATTATCACTGAAATGCATCTTAAATGTTAGATTATATTCTCAGGATATGACTTTTGTTTATACATATGGAGCAATCTTTCTGCATGTGACTCAACTAATTAGCAGAAATATGGACATGACATGCTGTTATTTTAAGAGCTGACAAATTTCAAAATATATAGGCCCCAAAACTTGAGACTGATAATCTGACAAAAAGGATATACATATTTAATGTATTGCAGTTCTACATCTATATCTGAGAGCCAGCAATATGATTCACTTCCAAGCAGACTTTTATATACACATTGATAGGTGTTCCATGGATAACAATGCTGTCAACAAATAGCCACAGTTGGCAACATCCAGAACTGTCTGCCAAAATATGTAAAATGGTATTACTTAGCTTTCCACATAAAATAATAGAACTACTAAACAGTATGGTCTTGTAACACCTTTTTTATAGAAGCTGCAGAAAAATCTTTAAATTGCTCATGTGGAACCAGCAATATACAGCAGGCTTGTCAAACTGGCAGCTTGCAGGCCAGATACGGCCGCACAGGCCATGCCCACCCTGGTTCTACAAAGGAAAAAAACATTGCAATGCATCACGATATGGACCACGATCCAAGTGAGTTTGACACCCCTGATATACATTACCACTTTCCCAATCTTTATTAACTGGCGAGCTTTGCATTTTGAGAAATCACTGGACACATGTTTCATTACAGATATAGTGATTTTCCAGAATAATGGAAAATTAATATTTATTAGGAAGTTGCATAATGCTTGAATGATATTTTACAATAAATGGTTTGGGCATTACAGGAGCCAATACGTTCTTGGAAATGAGATATGTTGTTTTTCCTGCAGCCTAAGTCAAAAGGCCCATAAAGAGCCATGATAAGTGACCAGTGGTGAAGGACTGTGCCAGCAGCAAATTCAACTGGCCAATAAGGGATCATGAATGGGGTGTCATAGTCTGGCTAGACACTAAATCATATCCAGAAAAAACAAAACAAAAAAAATATTCTTAAAATTGGAAGACTGAAATGCATCTGTGTTGGTCAAATTTATTCTATAATTGTCAACATTTGAGATTTATTTTCCACAGACAGACTCATAGCTGGAAAACAGCTTTGTTATGATTAGATTTTTTTAAATAAACAACCTAATATCCTTTTCAGTTATAATTCCAGGAGTGACACATGGCCAATTAGTATTTTTAAAAGGTCATGTTGCATTTTAACTATTACATGTGGACAGAGCAGATCTAAAATAATGCAAAATATTACATTTTTATTGCTATGTTCTTAAGTGTAATTTTCATAGTAACTTCACTATAGTCTAGGAATAACAATGTAAAAAGCATAAAATATGATGCTCAGCTACTGAATATATGGTATATTAATAGTTAATAAGTAAATCCTCAATAATATCATAACAAACATTATAAATGAACCCCAGAATTTAGCTAACTTGTCATTTGGGCTGCTGATAGAAAAACATAAATATTATCTGAATGATTAGAAAGAGACATAAAAAAATAAAAGGTACTTCCTATCTTTATAAATATCTCTATACAAATTTTATATAAGAAAAAAATGAGCAAGAGCTTCAACAGATTCAACATCAAAAAGACAAATGTATTCACTAAAAAGTGTGTCTAGTCAGATGTAACTGAATCAGATGTAAGAGCATTAAAAGATGCCTTTGAAATTATCTACAATAGTTGGTGGGCATGATTTAAGTGGAATAAAAACATAGTGATTTTCACCTAGGATTCAGTTTCCAGAATTTCAAAGTTTAGGGTTATAACTTCATTTATGCCCATTTATTAACAATGAAACAACACAGAACATTTTAGCATGTTAATCTACAGAAGTGCTAAACGAATTAGCCCAAGAAAAACCACTTTTACCCAATTGTGGGCAATTTATACCAGCTCAGCAAGTACTGTGCTAAACTTTCACATCACATATTTACATGGGGAAGATAAGATTCTCATAATAATTACTGATTGGTGTGCTATTGAACATCAAGTCAAAAGGCTATATTTTTTATGTTTAATGGAAATTCAAATCATTTAATTAGGCATTTTTTAATGATATGGCAACTCAACCTGCTATTCAGAAAATGGTATTTATAAATGTTGGGTGATAGTTACTAAGTATCATAGTATATTAGTTTTGAATAGCAAAAACAGTAAAAGCTTTTACATAAATAAATGCTCAAAAACAAATCCTTCTCAAAAGTACATTTTGTGCAATCACCAGTGAGGTAACCATTTATCAATCTCCCACTACATATTCCTTGCCTCTACTGGCAAGTAATGTTTTAATGTTTTAACCGTGTTTCAAGTAACAAATAGAATTCATCTGGGAAATTGTTTTGTTTATATTGTGAAAATTTGAAGGCGTCGTCTAACTTACCAAACCTCTTATAACCAAAGGACTGAACTTCTTCCTCTTCAGCAAAATCGTCTGTTAAACAAAAAAAAAGTTATGAACCTCAGTACTGTATAAATGTCAATATGAGAGAGATTAGGACGCATCATTTAGATATTGTTGTGTATTACAAACATATATAAAATATATCCAGAGCGACTGAAAATTTCACATAGAAACTGTATTTAAATGTAACATTTGATACAAAGTAGTATGAAAAATATCAATGTTAATCCCCTCTTAATGTTATTTATTTCCTGACTGGTTGTTTTAATCATGAAGCTCTGTTTGTCTGATACACAAATATATCATCTGGTCATAGTCAGCAGTCTGCGTATGGAAATTATTGGGTGGTCCAATACATAGTGTAATAGAACAGTCCAGTTTTTCTTACAAAACAATATTTTTAAAAGAAAACTACATTTGGCTTAAAATATATTGGTGTTGCCAACTACAGTAACACTAACAAAGAAAAATATTTAACCCCATCCTGATTTGGAAAAGGAGAAAAGGAACCCAGATGAACAACAGAGAAGACCTCCTAGTAAGCTATTGGGAAGTGTCTCATTCATTCACAGACATTCTTCTACAGATTTTTTTTTTAAAGGTGCAAATAAAAATGTGGTCAATAAAATTGCCAAGTTTCCATTTTACTGCTTTTGCCATCATTTATTAATATCTACATCTGACAGGCATTATGGCAAGATTGATGACTCTGTTTGGAGATTTGCATGGGAAGTTTGGAGAAAACTTGTAAAATGATCTGCAGAATGGCCTTAAAATACAGAACCAAAAATGTAAACTAATATAATTACAAAGAAGGAAAGCCCACCTACAGCAAAGCCAGACTAAAAGAAAAATGTTTGGGATCTTATTTCATTTAATAATTTGTTCATACATGTATGGATGAATCCCTATTAATACTAATATGCTATTCTTTACTTGAGTCACCCCAATTAGATTGCATTGATTTAAAACTCCTTTAACTTACGTGTTCCCTTCCAGATGCATTGGGGCACAATTCTTATAAATGCAGTTACTGTGAGAAGGCACAACTGGGAATTCTAAGGGCTACAATCTCAACACACGTGGACATGTATGAAATGGAGTTGATTGTGTAGTTTGGTTTCTACGGAACCCCAGGCTGCTTCATAAATTAAATGGGTGGGCTGCCATAAGAGAAGTGGGGGGGAAGAAGGGCAAAGAGGGAAGGAGAGAAAAGGAAAGGAAAGGATAGGAAAGGTAAAGGAAAGGAAAGGAAAGGAAAGGAAAGGAAAGGAAAGGAAAGGAAAGGAAAAGAAAAGAAAGGAAAGGAAAGGAAAGGAAAGGAAAGGAAAAGGAAAAGGAAAAGGAAAAGGAAAGGGAAATGAAACGAAAGGAAAGGAAAGGAAAAGAAAAGAAAAGAAAAGAAAAGAAAAGAAAAGAAAAGAAAAGAAAAG